TAAGTTTTCTCTGAGTTCATCTACTCTTCCCTTGAGTTCACCGAGCATCCTTATAACCAGTGTTTTGAATTCTGCATCTAGTTGATTGCTTGTCTCTATCTTGTTTCATTATTTTACTGGAGTTTTATCCTGTTCTTTCACTTGAGACATGTTTCTTTGTCTCCTCATTTTGGCAGCTTTCCTGTATTTGTTTCTATGTATGAAGTAGAGATTCTATGTCTCTCAGACTTATGTAGTAGGTATAGAATCCAGGGGCACAACCTCCCTGTTCACCCAAGCTGGAATCTCCAAGTGCACCTCCCTCTACATGGTCTGTGTACTGGTACACCCTTCTGTGGTAGTCGGGCATTGATAACTGTCAGCATTGATGTACTCCAAGGTCCATTGGCTACAAGACTGGCTGCAACCACAGGGGAGAATCAGCTTTATAGAAACCCACTCCACAGAGCAGGACTTAATTCAGAGAGATTCTGCTGCCCACTGAGCCCAGCCCTTTAGTCTATCGCTTGTGGAAGTGGCTGGGTGGTGCTTTGATGCGGTCTGAAGCTATCCACCAGGTGTGCTAGCTCTGGGCTGGCTAAGAGGCGCAAGCCAAGGTCAGCCACTGCCTGTGTTCTGCCCAGGATTATCTGGAATGATCTATAAAGCTATCTGCTGTTACTTGTGCTGGGCTTAGAGGTGTCCAGGAGAGGCCATGCTGCTAAGGCTGACTGCTACTAGTGCTGGGCTTTTGGTCATTTGGTGAGAGGTACAGGGAAAGATGCTACTTTTTTTGAGAAATTTTAGGAAATTCTGAAGCATGAACCAAGACAGTCTATTCATATGGAAATACTACTGGTAATAGATTGCGTGGGCCCACAAGTTGCTGAGGCAGGTCTCAGGAAATCACCAGGACAGGATGAACAGGGTGAACCATGTTTATGGAGACTCAGATTTGGCACCTAACTGCCAGCTCTGTGGAGGAAGGACTCAGAAAAAAACAATGGCCTCTTCTAACACTTCCATCTGGGAGAAAGCTGCCCCTCCAGCTCTTACTTTTATCCCAGACAATTCAATTATTCTCTGTATGTTACTGAAGCCTTTAGAGCTGCTTTTTAGCACTGGAACTCAGAGGGTGTATGTCTGAGTAAGTCCATGCGTGGGCCCTTTAAGAGGAACTGCATGGGACTCCAGCAGCCCTTTGTCTCACTCCCCACTGGTTTTTACAGCCAAAAGTTATGGTGACTTCTCTTCCTGGAACTGGAACCCTGGGCTGGGGTACCTGTTGTAGGGTTGGGAACCCTTCCTCCTCAGGGAAGACCTCTGCAACCAAGATATTCCTCCCAATTTTTATCTGCCACATGAGGTATGGGACCAGCCTGTTATGCCTCTCTGCCCCTCCTACCAGTCTCGATGTGGCTTCTTCTTTATATCCTTAGGGATTCCAGTTCAACTAGATTTCGGGCAATTCTGAATGATGGCTGTTCTGTAGATTAGTTATAATTTTGATGTGGTTGTGAAAGGAGAGTACTGCATTTACCTACACCACTATCTTGACCAGAAGCCCTTTTCTACATTTTTAGGCGTACAAATACCATTGTGTTATAATTGCCAAAGTATTCAGCATTGTGACATGCTATATAGATTTTCTAGCCCAGGAGCAATAGTCTATACCATGTAGCCTAGGTGTGTAGTAGTCTATACCATATATGTTTGTGTAAGTGCACTCTATGATGTTCGCACAATGATAAAACCACCCACCTAGTAATGCATTTCCCGGAACATATCCAGTCATTAAAAAGTGAATGATATAATTCCCTAATTCATATGTACAAATCTCAATTAGCCTGATATTCCAGAACGATGTTCCATATTCATCCTAAAGATTCCCATCTCTTTCTAATTCTTTAAGAGGTGCCTCATAAAGAAGTATGGGATACATTATGTCTCCTCTTTATATACAGCAGGTCCTCGGGTTACATCGGAGATCCATTCCTATGGTGTGACCTAATGCAATTTTCGGAACCCACCTACATAAGCAACTACATCACTCCCATGAGCACATACAAAGCAGTAATGAAGTGAAACAGTAAAAAAAATTTAAAAGATAACAATTCCTGACCTTTACTTGTGGTAAATAATAAATAATAAAAAATATATAAAGCGCCGAAACCAGTTTGGCTCAATGGATAGAGCGTTGGCTTGGGGACTGACGGGTCCCGGGTTCGATTCCGGTCAAGGGCATGTACCTTGGTTTCGGGGATATCCCCAGTAGGGGGTGTGCAAGAGGCAGCTGATCGATGACTCTCTCTCATGGATGTTTCTAACTCTATCTCTCTCCCTTCTTATCTGTACAAAATCAATGAAATATATTTTAAAAAATAATATATATATATATATATATATATAGCAAAAACAAAAAAACATAACGCACATATGTAAATACGTCAACATGACAGAGCTTTTTTATTTTTTTAATTAATAAACTAGAGGCCCAATGCATGAATTCGTGCATGGGCAGGGTCTGGCAGGCCTAGCCCCAATCAGAGAGGATCAGGGCTGGGCCTGTTGGGGGAGGAGACAGTGGGAGGTTGGCTGGCCAGCCCACCCCAATCGGGCTGATCAGGGCCAGACTAGCTGGGGGTTGAAGCCAAGGGCCATTGGCTAGCGCCCCCCCCCCAAAATGGGGTGGGGGGGCTATTGGAGGACAGCGGCCAGGGGAGGGGCTGTGGGAGGTTGAACAGCCAGCCCCACCCCTGATTGGTGGGAGGGTCCAATCGGGAATGGAGCTGACTGAGGGAGGGGCCACAGGCAGATTAGGGTGGTGGGAGCCAATAAGGGGTGGAGTCAGCTGTGGGGAGGGGCTGTGGGCAGTAAGCCAGCTGGCTCCATCCCTGAATGGGATTGGAGGGGGCCGGTAGGCGGCCAGTGGCCTGGGGGAGGGGCTGCAGAGACAATCTAAGGTGGAGCCAGGTGGGAGAAGGGCCTGAGGAGGTTGGCCAGCTGGCCCCGCCCCCTTTGGGGTAGGGGGTATGATCAGAGGCGGGGCCATCTGGGGGGAGGGGCTGTGGGCCAATCCGGGTGGTGGAAGCCCATTGGGGACAGGCCCAGTTGGGGGGAATGGCTGCGGGAGATTGGCTGACCAGTCCCACCCCCTGATAAGGCTAGTTCGCTGGTCGCAGTGGGCATCATAGCAACCAGTCATTCCAGTCTATCTGGTGGTCTGGCTACTGGCTTTATATAGATAGATAGATAGATAGATAGATAGATAGGTGATGGGACATAACCACAAAACAACGTATGTCAAGTCCAACGTAACCCGAGGACTATCTGTACTATATCCCTTAAAAACAAGTGTTGGCCATAATTAATTTTTTAAAAACTAGAATAGAAATGGAAGAGGAGGAATTTCAGAAGTAGAAAGAAAAAAAAGAAGGGGACTTGTCCTCAATATTAAATCTATATAAAACTTCAAACTTGTATATTTAAATGATTCTAGAGTTATTTCATACCACCATCATCCCCATCTCCTTGAAAACTGCAGGTGAATCCTAGTTTCCAAGCCTCAGAAAAAAGTACCTGCAGGTGACTTCTCTCTTAGAACAACTTCATCCAAAAAGAAAGCCTGAGATATATTAACATATATATAAAAAGATATTCAATATAGCACTCTTTGGATTAGAACCAAAATTCCTGGAAATGTGAATACCTACCAAGAAAGGACTGGTAAGACAAATCACAGCACATCTAAAATGGCATGTCATGAGGAATATCATGCAGCCATCAAATAAAACGAGGTACATCATTGCTATGTGTGTCCATGAATGTGAATGACAGGAAAACTTGTCCTCTCTGCCCTCCTATGTTCTTTGGCTGATCTAATAATTAAATTGACATAAGACATTAATAAGAGGAAAAAGCTCTCTCTGCTAATTCCTTTCTTCCTATAAACCCCTTGTCTAAATTATTTCAGGCAATTAAGGGAGAGGTAAGAAACTCTTCTAGAGTCTGTTGGGTCCCAATTGTCTTCAACTCAAAATAATCCCCAGGCCAAAGTATATGTTCTGAAATAGACTGCCCTGAACCCCATCACATGTACTCCAAGAGCTCTAGGATATGTGGTTAAAGAAAAAAGAGGCACAGAATAGGAGTAATTTCTATGGAATAGAAAAAAAAAGCAAGAAGTCCATATTTGCATATATATAATTTCTATAAAGATATACCACTGGCTGGATACCCCTGGGAAAAAACAAAGGATTATTGAAGGAGGACGATTTACTTGTTGGTCTTGTAGTGCTTAAATTTTTCACGAATTAAGTTGTGTATGTGTGTTTATTTATACTCATATACAAGCACACTTTAAAACAGAAGTTATCTAGAGGAAGTACAGGCAAAAGCAAACAGGAAAGGCGAAGCCTGGCTCACTCTCCCTGCCGGGCTCACAGCTTCCTGGGCTGGGACCCAGCAGGCCCAGGCTGCGGTGGCCTGGTTCCAGCTTCAGTGATTTCTCGGTCTGAGAGGCGCTGTGCTTTCTAGCAGGAGGGACATCAACAACTGGAGATGCTTCAAGAATGCGCCCCTATATCCAAAATGCAGAACCTACCTACATTCTTTAGACTTTTACCTTCATGAACTGTACTTTTTATTAAGACCTCTCTCACAGTTTCCATTTCCTTTTCCCTACAAACGTTTAAGAGGTCATCTCTACCTATATTCCCCACGTCCAAAATAATTTGCATACGTTGCAAAGATTGAGGGAAAATGTTTGTGAAAAACATTCCCTCCATATTGAGTACCAAACCACCTTGACAACAGGCGGTTCTTGACCATAAACTCTGAGGAAACAGCTTGTTGACTACCGGCCCAGCTGGCCAATTACCCAGTGAAGAGTTCTTCTGATGGCATAATGTTAATTGTGGCCCCACAACAATTTGGGAAGCATTTCCAGTATTCAGAGAAAACTTTAGATGAAATCAGACTAGTGTGTAAGCCAATCCATACCCAGGAGCCAAGAGAAATAATTAAAGGAGTGAATGTTTTATTCTTTAGTGTTTAATAGAATATATAACAAGTCACATAATCAATGATTCTTTACTCACACACTGGGAGGAAAACAGTATTGAGTATTTCTGTTATACAACTGGTTGTGAACAGGGAGAACAAAAATCTCTAGAGAGTTTAGATAGTTGAAGAAATTCTCTTAAACTTTGGGTATGTCTACAAAGACTTCATTAGTACCTTTCTAAAAATATAGAGGGATACTTTTCTTGGCTTTGTTTCATTAGAAAAGCCTAGTAATCGTATAATTAATTTTTCCCTTTCCCCTTCTACTTTGAGAAAATGGCTCTATGATATATAAGACAACATTTTCAACAATTTAATAATCCAGACAGCTCTGTGGGAATCTTAGATTGTTTAGTAGATAGTTTCTCAGATGCCTGGAAATACTATATAGCTTACATTTTCAAAATTAACATCCATAATGAATGCTTTAACCTTCTATCATTAAACGTCACTAATGCTGTTTGTATGATCATAAATGAGTTGTCATCATTTGTATGTAATAGTAATAGCAAAATCTGCCTGCCTATAAAGTCACAAAGACAGTTGTATAATAGTTTACACTACAATTAATGTTTACACACATCAAAATACATGGAAAATTAAAAACTTTGCTTGGGGGGGGGAATCACAAAATGTATAAGGTAACAAGAATTCTTAGTCAACTAGAGTCCATCTTCCTACCACACAAGATTATACTGTAATGTAGATATTCTGGTTGAATTTCTTCCAAGTTTCAAGGGTCCCAGTAGAAAATTTCAATCTTCAAACTTTAATACTCTTAGATTTTTATTACCCAAACTTGTGACAAAGTAAATTTCAACATAACTTGCTTCTGGTTCTAGAAAACCCTATTTCAGGTAGTATAGCCACTAGAAACACAGAGTATTTTATTTATTTCTCAAGAGACAGATTAGGTCATCTAAGAAAACTAAATCAGTTTGTAAATGACTTACAGTAAGAAGAAAAAGAGAGACAATTCCAAAGGGTTTACTTTGGTAGGCTTATAATACAAATATTAAACTGAGAAAAGTATTTATGGTTTAAACTGTAAAAGAAATTCTTAAGGAATTCAACCCCTCCAGCCAACACTGTCTAAATGCCTGTAGTATAATTTAGCATTTTTCATGTGGAATACAAAAGTGTTTGAATATTAGGTTAGAATTTACCGTAATTTAAAAAGTAAGAAGTTATCAAAGCTTCACCTCACATGGCTTCAATACAGTAATAACATTCCATAGAAAATCCCAATAAAAATTGGAATATCTAATGAGCATGGCCAGTTGCCATTTTGTCTGAGAATGCACGGATTATGCATTTCCTCAGAGAAGCAATAGGCCCCATATATATGGTTCTGGATTGAAAGAGAAGACAATTTTGGCTTGTATTGTAAATTATCACTTTGTGATCAATACAAAAAGCCAAATACGAAACACAAGAACAAAAACAGTACTGAAGAGGGGGGGAAAATGTTAAGTCTCACATCTTCAAGGAATACTTTTCACAACATATAATTTGAAAAACTAGAGTGAATTGGTTCATATTCTACATGTATTAAAAAACAGACTTGTTAAACAGTAGGCGCAAAAGCATTAAACATGGTACCTGTTTTTTTAACCACCATGTCAACATGTATTCTTTTTGTTATTAAAAAAAATCTTAATTTGTTATTAAAATCTAATGTCACTCAGCTATATTTATGAATCAAATGGTAATTAAAGCCATTATATATGTAAATGCATGTACACTGATTCAGGATAATGCAGTCATAATTACCTGAATAATGTATGACCTTCTCCCGAGTTATTTGAGTGGTGTCTTCACAGGGTTTATTCAAATCTCAACATTCCACCTAAGCTCACCAAACCCTTCAGCCACTTTGTAGTCCTTCTCTGCCCCAAAGCACGTGGGCCCCAAAAGTGCCCCTGTCAAGTCATCTTACCTGTTACACCCTCTACCGAAACACGTGTAAAATGAGTTTCTTTACCCAGCCTCCACTTTGGGCTAAAAGTAGAATGCTCTGTGGTATCCACTTCCAACTTTAGAGGGGACAGTCACCCTTAGAAAAAGAGGTCACTTTTACTGTTTCTAACCATCCCATGCCCAGTCTTTCAGATAATGAAAGGGGGGGGGGGGGGGGGGGGAAGCACTGCAGGGCAGCAAAGGTGGGGGCACAGTAAAATTAGGATGGAATAGTTCAACTCAAAATTTTACAAGATAAAACATGACTAACGTGGCAGAAACAAAACTTGAGCTGTTTCCCATCATTCCAGGAGTTGTGCAGATTTAATAAGAAAAAATCAGAACCTCAGAGAGTCTTGCCATATGTCGGTGGTTTTATCTGGCCCTCTAAGATGTTCTCAATTATGTGATTTTTGTTGAGTAATCTAACAGAATACCATATGGGTGGAGAAGTTTCTGTGACACTCATATTTGGCCAGTGAGCGGCATTCCTAAATCATTTCAGGCTTGAAACGGACATAAATTCTGATGCATTACCTAGTCTGAGGTCACACTCAACAGTGAAGCAAACACGGCTTCCTGGATGTCTACTCCCACTTCCCTCAGGATTACTGTCTCTGTGTATAAAGCTAATTTACCTTTCTAAAAATGCAACCACAATGAAAGACCTCAGAACTTTCTCAAAAAAAAAAAAAAGAATCAAAGGATTAAAAATACAGGTACCTTGTATTTTTACAGCTAATCAACATATTAGTATACAACTAATATCCAAGCTAAACAATGTGGAGCAAACTCAGTTTTATAATTATGTATTTTTTCCTAACCCAATTTCTCCTTTGATAAGGATATAAGAAACTCATCAAAAACATGTTGCTTAGTATAAACACCATCTGATGCAAGTTTCTGGGGGGCAAATATAGGAAATAGTACAGCATTAGTGAATGAATTAAAAAACTAAATGATTTGTGTAAAATGTTTATATAGGGTATATACAGATTGGATCACATGAATCTAAGAATAAAACAGTTCCAATTCTTAACATCTGTTATGGACCTAGTAAGATACAGTACAAGATTCATTTTTTTAAAAAAGGAAAAATAGCGCTAATTTAAACAGTGAAAAGAGACCCTTACAAAATCTTAAAAAACATACTCCAGAGAAAAATGCTGAAATAAATGAAAAAAAAGAAAGGCTTCTCAGTCATCACAGAATATTCAAAGGAGCCTCACAGCATGAAAGATAAGGATTTATTTCCTTTCACTTGTGGTATAGACAAGGTATGCAGTGGGACATTATTCCACGTTGGAGAAAAGGTATAAGGCAACCAGGTCTCCTGTTTTCTGTTGCGTTTACCCAGAACACCCTTTTATTGCTCAGCTCACTTCTAACTGCTTTGTCTTCATTTTAAAACATTCCCTTTGACAGCTTATCTACAGATGGGCAGCCCTTGGTGCTTCTACTTCTCTGCAGCTCTGTCACTCACAAACACTCCACCTTCGCTTCAAATAATCCACATAAAAGAAGTGGCATTTTCTAATTTTCAGGTCTGCCCAGAAGTCAACATTGACTAGGCTGGGAGAAAATAAGGGTGGTTTTTGTTATTTTTTTAAATAAGAGATGTTAAGTCTAAGTAACCAAAAATCAAACATATTTTGTTTGCTCAAGTAAACAGATAAAAAATAATAAAAAATAAAAAAAACACACCTCAGGATGTGTTATCAACCAGAAAATAAAGTTCAGTAACGTAAACCCTACTGGATAACTCTTTGGTTAGGTTACATCAGTATTAGCAACTTCTAAGTTTAGGACTCAAAACAGTTCAATAAAACTGCCGGTGAAGAGTAGAGATTCATCTGTATCAAATGCTTTGTTTTTTGTGTACTTTTTTTTCAATGTGCATGTACTCAAACGGATGGTACAAACTTCCAAATAATAAATGAGCATGTCTATTCCTCCCTTCCCATCCCTCCTTCTTACCTTCCTCCCTCCCCACCCCACCCCCCACGTCTTAAGAGCTACCGCCATTCACTGCAAGAATACTAGGACTCTGCTACTCCCCAGGACGTGCACTACTCCCCAGCTCCACTGAGTCACAGCCCAGCGACTCCCCCCCGAAGAACTTGGTGACTTGGGCTGTCCGGGCCCTGTCAGCTGCAGGACTCTCTCCCCCTCTGGCCAAGAACTGCTGCCATGTCAACCAGTCCGACCACGGGCTTCAGGCAGTGAGTGAGCGGAGGAAAGAAGGGTGCCTCCTCGGGCTGGAAGTCACTTCTTTCCCCAAGTAACAAGTTTAAGCCACAGGCGAAGGCCTTTTTTCTGCATTGAGAAGACATGATCCTTCATTGTGCCAGCACTAGATGCTTCTCCTACATCTACCTGTAACTTTTCCACACTTGATTCAATATTTATAGTCACTGAACTGCCTTCCTGGGGTCCTAATTCCAGGTCCAGTCTTTCATCCAGCCTTCTGAAACTCTACCTTTTGAAGAGGGGCGGAAAAAACACTATTCGCAGTGTTATCCATTTTCATTTCTGAAACCTGGAAATGAGTCATAAGGGCTTGACACTGGACAGGGTCCGATCAAGTTCTGAGCATGCCATCATCCCCAGGAACTTGGTCACTTCGGACCCCACTGCCCCCACTAGATCCAGACTGAAGGACAAACTGGGGGAGGGGTGGCTTGAGGCGGGGGCAGAGGAAGCAATGGAGGGGGAGGGAGTGTATATCTGGGCTCTCTCGGCTAAGTGGGGTCCAAAGAAGACGAAAAGGCCGAAAGGATTTGCGGCTCCAGGTTCTCAAGTGGGGGGAGGGGGGGGTTTGAGGAGGACTAGCCCAGCTACTGGAGGTGGGGACCAGGGAATAGGAGGGCGTGGGTGGAAGGGGAGTCTATCATCCTCTGGGGGCAGGAAGGAGGGGGGTGGGGGGAATGGGTGCGCTGGAGTCGGGAGGGGGCTCTGGGGAGCTCACTCCCTGCAGAAGACGTACTCGGTGTAGCTGGTCCAGATCTTGTCCTCGCTCTGGTCCGCGCTGGCGAAGGCGCAGGTGCCCGTGGAGCTGCACGCCACCATGTGGAAGCCGGACTCGGACAGCTTGTCGAACGCCTGCTCCAGGAAGTTGAACTTGAGGTAATAGCGCGACGTGTAGCGCTCGGGGGGCCGGTCGGGGTCCCTGCTCTCGTTGAGGGTGTCCCCGAACACCTCCTTGGCCAGCGAGGTCTTGCCGCACACGGTGATGCGCGCCACCCGCCGGAACTTGGCGTCCGCCTGCGCGTCGCGCCCGATGGTGTAGGAGCCGCGGTAGCCGATGGTGATGTAGCCCGAGCGCCGGCTGCCGTCCAGCGACTGGGACGGCGTGAGCAGCGGGCCCGCCGCGCCCCCGGACGGGCTGCGGCTCGCCGGCTCCAGCGTGGGCGACGGCACCCCGGCCGAGGCGCCCTCCGGCTGCTGCTGCTGCTGCTGCTGCTCGTGCTCCGCGTAGCCCAGCGACAGCAGCTCGTCGCCCAGCGAGCCCTCCTTGGGCACCCCGCGCCTCGGCTGCGGCGGCGGGGGCCCCGGGCCGGGCTGCTGGGGCGCCCCGAGGCGGCGCACGAGCTCGGGCAGCTCGAAGTACTCGGCCTCGCGCTGCAGCCGGCTGCGCTCGGGGAAGTAGTCGGGCAGCACGAGCTGCAGGTCCCGCAGGTAATCCAGGATGTAGCGGAAGAGGAAGCCGTCCCGGTCCAGGAAGAAGCGGCCTTTGCTGTCCCGGGCCAGCTCCTGCGGCTGCTGCTGCGTGAACATGCGCCAGAGCAGCGAGTCCGGCACCGCCACCACCGTGCAGCGCCGGGTCACATACACCTGGCCCCCCACGTTCAGCTCCAGGATGTCGGGGAACAGCGGCGGCTCGGCCGAGGAGGACGAGGAGCCGCCGCTGCCGCCCCCGCCGCCCCCGTTGGGTAGTCCGCGGGTGCTGTTGGCCAGAGCCATGGCGAGGAGGTGGCCGGGCGCTGGGGTGGTGCGGGGAGTAGCGGGGCCGCGCACGGGAGCTGCAGCCGCCTTTCCGGGACGTTGGCTCAGCCCTGCGCCCTGGCCACTTCCGCAGCCCGCTGCCCGGAGCCCCGGAGCCGAGCGCGCCGCGGTGAGCCTGGCTGCTCCGTGCGCTCCGCCCGCCGCGCCCGCGCGCTCCAGGCGAGTGCCGGGTCGCGCCCCGCGCGCCGCTTAAGTAGAGCCGCCCGCCCGGGGCGCGGGGCGCGCAGGAGGCGGGGGCGGCGGCGGAGCGGCGGGGCCTCGCTCCCCGGGGCGGGAGGGGGGAGGCGGAGAGGGGGATCGATTTGCATGTTAAACGCCGCCGAAGCCGCGCCCGGCCCGCTGGCTCCACCCAGATCGCGAGCTCGTGGGGGGGTGGGGGGGAGGGAGGCGGTCCGAGTACCGGTTCTCACTCCTCCCCGCCCCGCGCTCCGGCCCCTTCCCACTCCCGCCCAACTTTCTTCTCCTGTACCCGAGTGAGCGGACGGAGCTGGGACCGGCCCCTTCGGGAGAGGAGCCGCCTTCGGAGGGGTGGTCAGCGCACGCCCTTCCCGCCCGGCGCCGGGGGCTCTGGGAGGAGGGCGTCCGCTTTCCGGCTCCCCGGGGTGGGGAGAGGGTGGGGAAGTGGGTGGCGGCCTCCGGAACTGGCCGCTTTACACATCGGGGCCGTGGCTCTGCCCTGGTCGGTGATCGTGCTGCTGGAAGTTCTCGAGAGAGGCAAGACACGTGCAGAGACGATGGGGCCGCCCCCGCCCAGAGGCAGCCACCCCGGGTTCGAGTAGCCAGGAAAACAAAAAGCTACCCTCTGTGTCCCGCCCTAGGACGCTCTCCGATGGTTCACTCTCTGGGTTAAGAGGCAAACTCGTTAGTTGGAAGACCCCTAAATTGGAGGGAAGTAGCTGAAATGCAAGGAGGCCCTTGGATGAGATAAAGGAGTGACTTCGCGGAGACTTCTCCGGAGAGCGACCTCCTCCCGCAGCGCCTCCGCCTCTGGGGCCAGGCGAGGGCCGGGGAATGCTCTGTCTCCGGGTCCCTTGGTGAATCGCGCCGTTAAACTCAAAGGTTTTTGCGGATCTAACGTAATTGACAAAAATTACCTTTCAGTCCCTGCGTTGTTAACCTCCCCGAGGTTCAGGCGAGCCTGCTGTGCTGCTTGCCTGGGTCATTCATTCTGTTCAGTCCTTTCCAGGTTCCCTTACACTGGAAGTCCTTTTCCTAAAAAGCCTCTGGCCTTCTCAGGCCTGCTCCCTGCACACAGGCATCCACCTGTCACATCGCAGCCCCGAAGGCTCCGCCTCCTCCCCCAGGAAGGCCAGCCCTGGCTCCTCTGGCGGGCGGGGCCTCCTGGTTGCTCCTTCTACGTGCCCCGCCTGAAGCGCAACTCATTGGGAAATTTCATACTTGTGAGGGGTTATCTGATATCTGACTTTGGTAAATAAAGTGTCCCTGAGCACTGCAGGGGAAAAAAAAAAAAAAGGCACAAAAGAGGGAAGTGAAGGATGCTAAGAAACCATCAGGTTAAGGAATATTTGTTGTGTACCTGCTATTTCCCAGCTGGTTAAGAAGGCAAGGTTGAACAGGCTCCCAGGCAAGCATTCAGTGTAACCTGGGAGGCAAAGGGTCAGGAGTCTGACCAGGGATCAGGCCAGCTGGAAGCACAGACAGTCAATCTGGGGTGAGATCTTTGTTCTTTATAATAATGTCTGTTTACCCTTTAGTGTGACTACCCACTGAGCTTTATAATTTCCTCCTGAATAAGTGTCATTTTCATTTTGAAATGTTTATGTCTGTTGAACTATTATCTCATCATGTCACTTGTGCTGAAATAAGATCAAGCCTCAAACCAGTTCACTTAATTGCAAGTAGATTTTGATACTGAGTGTCTAACCATTCTTTTTATGTTTGTTCTCCCTGATAATAGATGACATAAAAATTCCAAGTTCCAAGGCTGAATTTCAAGGTGGTTGTGCTACTATTATGGTATTTCCAGTCTCTTTTCTATGAATCTAAGAAAAGCCTTGTTCATATCAATTCTGTACATGTTTTTGTACATTGTACATTGTATCAGCAACTATAAGCCTGGTGCACAAAATTCATACACGGGGGGTTCCCCTCAGTCCAGCCTGCACCCTCTCCAATCCAGGACCCCAGGATCAGGCCTAAACTGGCAATTGGACATCCCTCTCAAAATCCAGGACTACTGCTGACTCCTAACTGCCCCCCTGCCTGCCAGGTTGCCCCCCAACTGCCCCATCCCTGCCAGCCTGGTTGTTCCTAACTGACCTCCAACCAGCCTGGTCATCCCTAACTGCCCCCCACTGCTGACCTGGTCACCCCCAACTTCATACCCTGCCCCTGCCAGTCCAGTCGCCCCTAACTGCCCCCCTGCCCGAGCAGTCTTGTCACCTCTTACTGCCCTCCCCCTCTCCCCCCCAACAGCCAAATGCCTCCCCTGTTGGCCTGGACACCCCATGCAACCTGCTGTTAAGTCATTTGGTTGTCCTTCATTACTCCCCTGCTGGCCTGGTCTCCCCAAGCAGCCTGCTTGTTCAGTTGTTTGGTCGTCCCTCACTATACCCTGCTGGCCTGATCATAGGCAGCCATCTTGTGAGGGCATGAGGGTCAATTTGCATATTATCTCTTTCTTATATAGGATTCATGTCAGTTCTGCCTTCAGAACACTTCCAGGCTATTCACATGTTGCACCACCTCCCTGCCACCACCCTGGACCAAACTGCCTATCATCTCTTACCTGGATTAGACCATCAGTGACCTCCTAACTACTTCTACCTTTGCCCTCTACAGTTTGTGTGTGTGTGTTTATCACCAGAACAAAAAGAAGGGATCCTCTTATAATCTACAGTGAGTCAGATCATCTCACTCTACTCAATGCCTCTCCATGGCTTCCCATCAGGTAAAAACCAGCCCTGGCCGCCTGGCCAGTTCTGCTCAGTGGTTAGAGTATCAACCCTGGGGACTGAAGCATCTGGGGTTCAGTTTGGGTCAAAGGCACATACCTCAGTTGCAGGCTCAATTCCTGGCCCGGCCAGGGCTCCTGTAGGAGGCAACCAATCAATGTGTGTCTCTCACATGAATGTTGTTGTTTTTCTTCTCTCTCTCTCTCATAATCAATGGGGGCAGGAGGGTTATCCTCTCATGAGGATTAACAATAAAACAAAAGGGGGAGGGGGACAATGGTAAAATATGTACACAGATAATAATTTAATTTTAAAAAATTAAAAAAACAACAACAACAAAAAGAGTAAAAACCAGTCCTTTCAGGGGCCTACAAGACAACATGATTGGAGCCGCCTCACCAGTACCTCTCAGACCCTTCTCCTCCCACTTCCCCAGGAGCTCCCTGGTTCAACCACCTTATCCTCCCAGTTTCCTCAGGGCCTTTGCACTTCCAGTTCCCTTTGGTAAAAGGCTGATTTCCCCTTGCCCTTATCTTCCTCACCTGGTTCAGGTGCCCCCTTCTCATGTCTTCAGATCTCTGCAGCCAGACCCTTTCTTGATCACCTGTTTACTATAGCACAGCCCCACCCAGGCAGTGTCCCCATTCTCTGCTTTATTTATTTCTTGTATTTCCCTGCATCGGAATATAAACTCCCAAGAGATTTTCGTCTGTTTGATTCATTTCAACAGTGGTCCCTCTTATCTGCCATTGGGCTTTGCAGGGTTTCAGTTTGAAGATATTTAACTGGAAAATTCCAGAAATAATTAGTAAGTTTTAAATTGTGAGCCATTTTGAATAGTGTGATGAAATCTGGGACCTTCCCACATCATTCCTTCCAAACGTGAATCATCCCTTTGTCCAGCCAGCATATTCACTCAGTATTCACTGCCCACCTGTTAGTCACTTAGTAGCCATCTCAGCTATCAGACTGCCTAGATATTACAGTGTCTGTGTTCAAGTAACCCTGACTTTACTCAATAATGGCTCCAAATTGTAAGAGTTCTGATGCTGGAAATTTGGATATGCCAAAGAAAAATCATAGAGTGGTCCTTTTAAGTGAAAATTCTCGACTTGAGGCATTTTATCATCTCACATCATCACAAGAAGAAGGGTGAGCATAGTACAATAAGATAGTTTTTGAGAGAGATCACATTCACATAACTTTTATTCTAGTACACTAGTAGTCCTGTGCACGAATCTGTGTACCAGTAGCTCTCTGCGGGGCCTGGCCACTCAGCGCCTGTTGCCCAGAGGCCCATTCTCGGCCAGGCATGGAACGTTTGCCTCATTGCCACAGCAACAAAGCAAGCATTCTGCCAGGAAACTCATGCTGCCCACTCTCAGTGGTCCTTCCTCCCCTCCCCCCTGGCTGGGAGTCTCCAGCAGGGCTGAGAGAACTGGGCACTGCCATCTTGTGGCTATGGGCACCACCATCTATGTGATGGAGTGATGGTTAATTTGCATATTACCCTTTTATTAGATAGGATTATTAGAATTGTTCTATTTTTTCATCAGTTATTATTGTTACTCTCTCACTGTGCTTCATTTATAAATTAAACTTTATCATTTGTATTAAAAAGCAATATGTATAGGGTTCAGTTCCAGGCATTCACAGGGGGTCTTAGAATGAATCCCCCATGGATAAGGGGGAGAGGACTATGCATCCCCAGTGCCTAGAGCAGAACTGGCATATAATAGGCATTCAATAAATATCTGTTGCTTACTCATTTGTTACACGAATATTTATGAAGGGTCTACTATTATGTTCCAGACAGTGTGTTAAAAAATAATCTCTGCCCTCTTAAGAGCTTACAGACTTGTAGGCAGACAGATAATAAATATTGTTATATAGATAAGTAATTAAGTTCACTTTAGGTAGAAATAAAGGCCATGAAACATAAAACTCTGAAGTGAGATAGAGGGTCTGAGTGTGGGGATACTACTTTATTCAGACTGGCTGAGAAGGCCTCTCCATGAAAGTGACATTGAGCTGATAATAAAGAGAATTCTGGAGGAAGAGCATTCCAGGCAAAGAGCAAAGCAAGTTAAGAGGTGTCTGTTAGAAATGAACTTGGTACATCTTACAGAAGTTTATGTATTGTATCATCTGATTACATCCTGTGAATCTCCAGAGGACCCTTGAAGAGATCAGTACGAGCTCAAATGTGAAACATATGCCCAGTCCTAAGCATATTACCTTCCTTCTCCACTTGGAGTAACATTCATCCAC